GATAGTGGGCTAGATGGGAGGAGGCAAGGGGAGGGGGTTTTCCTGTAAGAAATTTTGTCATACGTTTGCAATCCACAAACTTCTTCACCAGAAGGGGGTCTAATATCATTTCTATGGCTCTGTCCTTGTCTTGCATCTGATGGAGAGTTGCCGAGGGGGTGGGGTAGGTGGCCACTTGACCTGTAGTAGAATGACTGATCGCTTCCTAAAACCTGCCTATTAGAAATTTATCTCTGTCTAACCTGTGCTAGATCAAATTGTGTCAGGGGTAAAGTCCAAGCAAAAATGGCTATGCTGAGACAAAAAGACTACGCTAAACTAGGTTTATTCTAGGTTTCTATAGCTACCTCCTTTCAATGAGTGGGTCTGTGTGTGAGGGGAGGAGGTACGGGGTCACATTGCAGTTCAACAGATGCTTGTAGTGAGTCTATCTGCATGTTTACTTCAACTCCATTATAATTTAAGTTTTCTCTGGTCCTGACTTATAAATTATGTGTTAAGTATTTCTTGTAAGCTACCTCAATCCCTGTGAAAGTTTGAGGGTAAATAATATAATGTGTACTTATGGGCACCTCTTGTGATAATTGCTTCAGGAGGTATGCATGAGTAAGACGCCATTCCAGAATTCTTGGCTAGCTTAAATCCAGAGGGAGAAGTCAGACAGTTACTCACACAGCAGTGATACCAGGCAGAGCCAGGAAGGGATCATTGCAGATGTGCTATGCAATGTAAACACGAGCCCCAGGTGGCCTCTCCAAGCCATGTTCTCCTCCACTGTGTGTTCCAGCGTCGTCCTGAGACTCCTGCCTTATATGTAACTTCGAGTGTTGAAAAAGAAATACCCTGGCTGAGGACTACAGGTATGTGCTACCATGCCTGGCCAATTTTTTTGATTTTCTTTTTTTTGTAGGCATAAGTTGCTGAGGACTACAGATATGCGCCACCATGCCTAGCAAATTTTTTTTTTCTTTTTTTTTTATAGAGATAACGTCTCGCTGTGTTGCCCAGGCTGATCTTGAACTCCTTCTGGGCTCAAGCCATCCTCCCTCCTTGGTCTCCCAAAGTGCTGGGATTACAGGCATGAGCCACCACGCCCAGCCTAGAGGATAAATTTTGCATAACACATTTTGAGTTATTCCTATATGGAAGGTACTGCTAAGTGTTAGGGATAAAAGATTAAAAGACTCCTTCCTAACACAGGAGTTTGTATCATAGTAGGAGTAACAGGTTTATCAGATGAAAGTGAATTGCCTCGTAACACTATTTATTGAAGAGTGCACACCAAGATGTGCTGGGACTGTTCTAAGAGCTTTACATGCATTATTTTATTTAATCCCTACAATGAAGTAGGCATTTTACTATTAATCTCCATGTTAAAGAGGAAAACAACTCATCATAAAGGGACTAGAAATTGCCTGTGGTCAAACTAAATTTGAATATGATCCCATATTTGAACCCCTGTTGTTGTTATGATCCCAGTAAAGCTTGGCTGCTCCCCTTGATAACAGTACGTCAAAGGAGCAGGGAATCGGTAGGAAGAAGATTATTTCTGAGCTTGAATTCAGAGAGCAGAGCCAGATTCAAGGTGCTTCAAAATGGATCTGCTCATCTTCTAGGCTTCTTCACTTTTATAATCCAGAGTTGTCGGTGCCTGTACATTAGCCATGTGACCAGCAGAGCACTGTATAGAACTTGAGTTTCAATCACATTTATCGATAGTGACATTTTTCGGTCCAGACTTTCTGGTGCCAGGTATCAGAGGTATCAGAGCTTTTATCAGTAGGGCCCGGCTGAAGCATTAATTAAGCTTGCCGTAGAGTAAAGGGCCTAAGACATGGATTATGCAAAAGTTACACAAATCACAAAGCTTACGATTACATGGATAGAAAAGTTATATATAAAAGATACCTGCACACGTATGTTTATCGCAGCATTGTTCACGATAGCAAGAACCCGGAAACAACCATGCTGCCCATCTAAAGAGGACTGGATTAAAAAAATGTGCTACATATACACGATGGAATACTACGCAGCCATAAAAAAGAACAAAATCATGAATTTTGCAGCAACCTGGATTGAACTAGAGTCTATAATACTGAGTGACCTCTCACAGAAACATAGATCCGAGTATCACATATTCTCACTCATATAATGGACCTTGAACATCCAATGTAATGTTACTATAAGAAAATGACTGACGGTACTGGGAAACTATGGGGTGGGGAGGGAGATGGGATTAACAGTAGCAAATATCTGTCTGGGGATGGGGAAACACCTCTTATCAACAGGGTGACTGAATGAAACGTCATTGTACACCTAACCCTTAACTGTACCCCACAAAACCATAATAAAAAATATTGATTATGGAAAAAAAAAAGATAAGTTATATAATTCACAAGGCTTACGATTATACCGATACTATATTATTCAAACTTATAACCACTCAGGAAAAGGGAGTAAAAGGAGATTTGATGGGGTGTAAACTACTGGGAAGTCAAGGATCCCCTGAAGCTACTTACTTACGGGGAGTGCGTAGGAGATAAAGGGAAGCACACCTTTTATTAACTCTCAGGAATATTGTTCAGGAATGTACGGGAGCGTTTGCGCCTCTGGCCATGCCCTTCTCTAGGGACTGTGACAATGTGGACAGATATTAGAAGGTCTCTGTATCACTGTTAGTGGGCAGAACCGCTTCCATAATTCAAGATCCTAGTGCTTGATAAATGTCTGCATTTATCAAGTGGACTCAGAGAATTCCTGCTGATGCCATTGAGAGGAGGGTGGAGGGGAGGGGAAGAAATGGATGTCAGGGGATGACGGTTGATTGATGGTAAAGAATTAGGACACATTTAGATCTGAACTAGAAAATTTAGTTCAACACCCTTAATTTATATTTGAGCCTACGAGAAGCAACTTGTCTAAAATGATTCAGCTATTTTTGTGTGTGACAAGTGTGACAACAGTCAGATATCCTAGCCTGGTACTTATTTTCTTGTTTAAAGAAGAAAAAGGCTCACCTAACTTATTAAACCATGTCCTACCTTAAATGCTACCTAGAAATTTAGTGTAGAAGAGTAGCATGATAAATTCCCAGTCTTCCTCCACCGTGGTGATTGAAATGGGTTTCTTTTTTTTTTTCTTTTTTTGGAAAAAGTGTCGCCCAAGCTGCAGTGCAGTGGCATGCTCACAGCCACCCCAGCGTTGACCTGCTGGGCTCCAGCAATCCTTTTGCCACAGCCTTCCAAGTAGCCAGAACTACAGGTGCATGCTACCACACCTGGCTAATTTTTAAAAAAAATTTATTGTAGAGATGAGGTCTTGCCAAATTGCTCGGGCTGTTCTCAAACCCTCAGGCTCAGGCAATCCACTCACCTCGGCTTCCCAAAGTCCTGGGATTACAGGCTGAGCCACTGAGCTCAGCCAAAATGGGTTTAATATAGTAATCTACTCACTTTCACAGAGATTTTAGAAATGAAGTCTTGGCCAGGCGCTGTGGCTCATGCCTGTAATCCCAGCTCTTTGGGAGGTAGAGGCAAGAGGATTGATTGCCTGAGCCCAGGGGTTCGAGACCAGCCTGGGCAACTTGGTGAGACCTTGTCTCTACAATAAATAACAAAAATTAGCTCCATGTGATGGCACATGCCTGTAGTTCCAGCTACTTGAAAGATTGAGGCAGGATTGCCTTAGTCCAGCAGGTTGAGGCTGCGTTGGCCATGAGTGTGCCACTGCACTCCTGCCTGAGCAATAGAGTGAGACTCCTACTCAAAAAAAAAGAAAAAAGCCGGGCCCGGTGACTCAGGCTGTAACCCCAGCGCTTTGGGAGGCTGAGGTGAGTGGATTGCCTGAGCCCATGGGTTCGAGACCCGCCTGGGCAGGTGAGACCTCATCTCTACAATAAATCAAAAAATTAGCCGGGCGTGGTAGCCCGCGCCTGTAGTTCCAGCTACTGGAAAGCTGAGGCGGAAGGATCGTTGGAGCCCAGCAGGTCGATGCTGCGGAGGCTGGGAGAGGCCACTGCACTCCAGTCTGGGCAACCGGGTGAGACTCCAACTCAAAAAAAAAGAAATGAAGTCTTTATGTATGGTATGTTAATGGGTTGACTTCCACATATGGAATAAGTGTGTCTCTGGAGTCAGGCTTCCTAGATTTTAATTTTGCTTAGGTATCCTGGATCTGTTTTCTTCACTGTAAAACAAAGACAATATCAATACCTCTCTCATGGAGTTAGGAGAATTGAAAGAGTTAATACATATAGGGCATTTTGAAAAGTGTGTGGCCTATTGTCAGTGTTCAGTCACTGTTAGTTGCTATTTATGGTTAAGCTGATGGCTTCCCCACTTCCATTCCAGGTTATTTCCTGGGAGCCTGCCTTTTGATTTCTCTCTGGGGATGAGGAGCTGGGAATTGGTATTTTGAGAAGTGCGTAGAAAAGCAAGCAGGTATACTTATGCCATTCCTCATTGTTATTAATTTATCCAACTGTAAGTATCCATTTGCTTAGCTCTGAGTACATATTCGCAGTCTGTACTGAGTAGCACACATGGGAATTAACTAAAACTCCTAGACAGCAAAGAGCATAAGTTTGACCTTCCTGTATTCTTGTCTTTCTCAGCAATATTTAAAGGCCTTGTTGGCAGAGCTAGTGTTAACATATTTATTTATTTATTTATTTAATTTTTGAGTCGCAAAGTCTCACTCTGTCGCCCAGACTGGAGTGCAGTGGCCACTCCGGCCACCGCAGCCTCGCCTACTGGGCTCCGGTGATCCTTCCGCCTCAGCCTTCCAAGTAGCCGGAATTACGGGTGCGCGCTACCACACCTGGCTGATTATTTTTTTATTATTATTTATTTATTGTAGAGATGAGGTCTCGCTGCCCAGGCGGGTCTCGAACCCGCGGGCTCAGGCAATCCACTCACCTCAGCCTCCCAAAGGCGCGGGATTACAGGCTGAGCCACCAAGCCCGGCTGTGTTAACATATTTAAAGTGTTTTTCCTTTCTAGAAACAGGGACAGTTACTGTATAGGTAACTTTCAGATATTGCTGATCCTGAAGCAGCTTCCCGGTAAAAAGGAAATTGGTCTGGCAGAGAGGGAAAGGAAATTACCCGAGTAGTATGGTGGCTTTTTTTGTACAAACTTAGAATATCTCAGTGACTTGCTAACCCAGATATCTATATGTAATCAGACACACAAAATTATACTTCTCCTACCCATCTCTTACTATACCAGTTCCTGATTTGTCTAATTTATTTATTTTGGATTAGGAAATATAATTTAGAAAGTAAATTAGAGAGCGAGAGAGGGAGAGAGAGAAAGAGAAAGAGGAAATTCATGGCGATGGACGTAACTCCAAGAGTGCACGGCTGTGCCAGAGTCTAGTAAGGCAATGGCTTGTCTAATTTATTTTTTAATGTTACTCTAGCGAATCATTTAAAAAAAATTATTATAGTGCTCTTATAATAAGATTCCCGATATCTGTGATCTGAGATCAACAATACTAGCAATGTGCTGGCTTTAAAATAGTAACCCTTATGGCATGCTTTGACATTTCTCAAAAAACTCAGTAGTAGATAAATTATTATTACTTTTTTTGAATTGGAGTTGCACTCCAGGCTGGAGTGCAGTGGCATGCTCATGGCCACTGCAACCTTGCCCTGCCGGGCTCAGGTAATCTTTCTGTCTCAGCCTTCCAAGTAGCTGGAACTACAGGCACACACTACCATGCCCAGATTATTTTTTGTCTTATTGTAGAGATGAGAGGTCTTGCCAAGTTGTCCAGGCTGGTCTTGAACTTCTGGGTTCAGGCAGTCTTCTCACCTCTGCCTCCCAAAGTGCTGGGTTTACAGGTGTGAGCCACCGTGCTCGGCTAATATTAAATAAATTCTTAACAATCAGCCTCAAGGTCAGATCCCCTTCCAGAAATCAAGCACGTATGCAAGACTTTTGGAATGTAAATGTAAATTTTTTTATTTTTAAATTTTTTTCTTTTTTTTGTTAATATCTTTGGATATTAGATATTTTGTGAGAGAAATCATGCATCAATGTGTAATTTTTTCCCTTTTTTATGTTGTCCTAGAGATAGTTAAAAGATAGGCAGCTTTTCTAAATCTGTAGTTGTGATTTTAGAATATGTACAATAAATTTTTTTCTTAACACATTCTCTACTGTTAACATCTATATATGAAGTAGCTGACATATTTTTTTCTTACCAGATCTGTTAACATTCCTTATTATTAAAATAATAAATATTCCGTGTTTGCTTCTGCCGACACATGAGCAGGCCTGCTCAGTACCCTCTGAGCGGGTTTCTCTTGCCTAGCTTCATGATTGGATTCCTCTGCTTTCCATGCTTCTCCCCTGCAAGGTCTGTTGGCCCTCTCTTCCATGGATCTACTTTCAGATAACCCCTTCACTTCCTGTTCTCTCCTCTCTCAGCTCCCTCCCTCCACCTGTCCACACTAGTGGAAGGGGCTGATTGAATGTGTTTTGGGACTTGTTCTCCAGAGATGAAGTTCTGGGAGCCTGGCTGAGTGAGTAAGTTCTGGGAGCCTGCTGTAGTGGAGGAATTATATAATACAGAGGAGGAAGCAATTAACACTGCCTGTGGCAATCAGGGAACTTCAGCCAGGAGGTGACCCTGGTGTGTACTTTAATAAATGGCTAGAGCTGCTCTCTTGGAAGAGGGTGGAGCAAGGGAGAAAAATGGACCTTTCCGACATAAAAAGGAAAGCCTATACCAACACAAGTGTTCCACAAATGTGGACTAATTGGTTTTTTTCCTCGTAGTACTTCCTCTGATTCATTCTTCCTGTTGGCCTCAAGCCAAGACAGTTTCATTTTTTAATAGAGAAAGGACTTAACTTTCAGTTGCATTTCATTTTGTTGATTTTTCTCCACTATTTGGAAATGCACCATCTTTCATCCTTCGTTTGTCCTCCGTTTCCCTTCTCTTATATAAAGGTACTTGTGCCTGTGAGTTTTGCATTGCCTCCTCCTCCCTCAGCAGATCTGCAAATTGTGACCTGCTTACCTCTAGGCATCCAGAATTGCTTGACTGCTACTTTACTCTGTGGTAACAAAGCACTTTGTTGATTGCTTAGCTCTCAAGACAGATTATGTAGTTGCCTGGTTCACTGTCACTGCCTGCATTCTACACTGAGACGTTATCTGTAAGATTCCTGTGCATGTGCCATCGCTGGTCAGACTTGACATCTGCTATCTTGCTGGGACAGGTAAAAACATGGAAAATGTTTCAAAGCATTCCTTTTGTTTCCTCAGTAATAGAACGAAGAAAACCTTTATTCATTCAGCAAATGTTTGGTAAATACTGAGTATCTGAAGTTTTGCTGTGCGAAAAAAAAACCAGTGGTAATCAAGACCAGCATGGTCTTTGGCTTCAGAGTCAAATGTGAGTAGGTGGAAAAGATGCAGTGAAGCAGCAGTTTGAGTAAAGCGAGAAAAGGGTTTGCAATGGAAGCATTATCAGTGGTCCAAAGCGTATGTGGAGCGCGAGTGGCTCAATGCATGTGGGCACCTGAAACGCTCTAAAAGAAGTAACTGACCTGAGACTACAGTAGGTAGAGTTTCAAACATGGCAGTGTTTCAAACATGGCAGTGACATCATTGTGTTTTTTTGTTTTGTTTTGTTTTGTTTGAGTTGGAGTCTCACTCTGTCGCTCAGGCTGGAGTGCAGTGGCACACTCACAGCCACCCCAGCATTGACCTGCTGGGCTCCGGTGATCTTTTGCCTCAGCCTTCCAAGTAGCCAGAACTACAGGTGCATGCTACCACACCTGGCTAATTTTTGATTTATTGTAGAGAGAGGTCTTTCCAAGTTGCGAGGGCTGGTCTCAAACCCACTCACTCAGCAATCCACTTGGCTTGGCCTCCCAAAGTGCTGGGATTACAGGCTGAGCCACCGAGCCCAGCTGTGACATCATTTTTAAAAGCTGTATATAAAGAACATCCTTTATATGTACACTGTACACACACACACATACACACACACACACACACACACACACACACACACACACACACACACAGTATATAAAGAATGTTCATGCCTATAATCCCAGCATTTTGGAAGGCCAAGGTGGGAGAATCACTTGAGGCCAGGAGTTAGAGACCTACTTGGGCAACAAAGAGAGACCCTGACGCTTCAAAAAATAAATAAATATTAGCTGGGCATGGTGGCACATGCCTGTGGTCCCAGCTACTTGGGAGGCTGAGGCAAAAGGATTGCCTGAGCACAGGAGTTTGAAGCTGTGGTGAGTCATGAGTATGCCACTGTTCTCCAGCCTGGGTGACAGTGAGACTCCACCTCAAACAAACAAGCAAACAACCCTCCAAAAAACAATAAATAATACTCTGGGTGAAGTGTGACGAATGGGTTAGAAAGTGTGGATACAGGGATGCCAGCTAGCAGCCTACATCCAGGGCTTGTGAGAAATAATAGTGGCCTAGATGTAGATAAAAGTGGTTGGATTTGGAACATATTAAAGAGTCAAAACTAATAAGACATAGCATTGTTTTGAATGAGTTAATGTTGGTACACTCTTAATTTTACTTCCAGATTTGTGCAAATGGTTGGTGATGCAGCTGTTTCTTGCATCTGTGATCTCACATGGGGATTGATGGTGGTAGATCATATCACTGAGGCAGGGCATTCAGGAGAAATGTGACTTGTGCGGGGAGAACAGACCATTGCAGTTCAGTGTCACTGATTTCCCTGTCCCCAATGTAGATTGAATTCTGTATGTATGTAGGTTGAATTCTAAAATTACTTCTCTATTTTCTTGCTGTAAGAAGTCTTCCAGCCCATCTTTAAAACTGTCATGGGTTTATGCTGTCCTCATTTTAGATTTCTTAGGGGATCTACAAAGATATTCCTGTTACCTAAACAGATTGTTTCCTGCTCTTGAATTGTCTTGTCTCATTTCCTCATCTTCTAATTTCAGTGCTTTTATTATCTTCTTTTACTTATTGTCCTTTTACATTAATCTGGGTTAAGTAACTGGTGTTATTTATCATTTATGGATTTCACGTGAGGAGCAGTTCTTTGGTGTCCTTGTGTGTAGTGCCTGTTCCACGGGTTTTATTAGGATTAAATTAAATAATAAATGTAAAGTTCCTTGTACAATGCCTGATTTACAGATAAGCAGTAAGTTTAAATTCCTGTATGCTGGTTTTTTTTTTCCTCCTCAGTTGGAAGGGCCATCCATGCAGTTCCCTCATAGTTGTCTTTATTGACTATGGATTGAAAAGTACATTTTTCCATGTTTTGTGAATTTCCAATATGTTTATACCTTCTTGAGAGTTTTAAATGAGTGTGTTAACCTCATGTCCAGTTGAACAGCATATTTCATCTCTGATGAAAAACTTCATCACTCCAGGAACTATGTGCAGTCTGTATTAGCCTGACAGCTTAAACAACAGAAACTTGTTTTTTCACAGTTCTGGGGGCAGGGCAGTCTAAGATCAAGGTGCCAGAAAATTTGGTTTCTGTGAGTGCCCTCTTCCTGGCTTCTGGACAGCTGCCTTCAGGCTCTGTCCTCATGTGGTGAGAACCCTCTGGTGTCCCCTTTTCCTATAAGGTCACCATCCTGTTTGTGCAGGGCTCCACTCTTGTGGGCTCATTTAAACTCCATTACTTCCCTAAAAGCCTGGTCTCTAATCCAGTCACTTTAAGGATTGGTGCTTCCTCTACCTGCTGGGCTCAGGCGATCCTTCTGCCTCAGTCTTCCAAGTAGCTGGAACCACAGGCATGCGCCATCACACCAATTTTTTTTTACTTACTGTAGAGAGAGGATCTTACCATGTTGCCCAGGCTGGTTTTGAACCCTTGGGCTCAGGCAGTCCTCTAGCCTCTGCCTCCCAAAGTGCTAGAATTATAGACATGAGCCACCGTGCCTGGACCAAGCTTGGCTTTTACTAAAAATTTTAGTCACTCAATTTTATATGTGAAATATGGTATTGCATTACTTTAACTCACACATTTATTATGAATATGCTTGTGTATTCTCTTGTTAGTCTTTTTTAAAAATAGACTTTACTTTATAGA